GGGGAGGAGGAGAGGAGATTATGAAAAACGTGGCTTTGTCACCGAAGGAGAATGCCATCCGATCAACGAGAATATAGCTCAAGATGATCAGGCTAAAAAGGCAGAGGTAGACCACAAAAAGCTTGGCTGGATGAGAATGGTCTCAAATATGTCCCCTAATAGAAAAACGTTACAACAGAAGCCACCCGCCTAACCTAGGCTAAAACAGCACCTGGACATGGGTGGCTGGTGTCTCTTTAAAATTAATTAATTATACATGTATTAATGATTTGGGATATTAATGATACGCCTCGGTTCGGACACGGATTTTATTCGCCCTTCCTGCCCACCCAGCAGTAGTGGGTACCTGACTTCGAGTTGGGGAAGTAAAGGCGGCGTGGAAAGAAACTGTCCACCCTACCACAATATGCTGAAGGCCCAGGAAGTTGTCTCACTAACAAGGCAATCCCCAATGTCTGGATCGGATGCAGGAACAACTTTACTTTACTTTAATGATCAGATCTGGAACCACCTAGCCATTTACCGAAAATTTCATTTCACCTTCCTTCGACATCTAAAGATGGAATAAGAAGAAAAAAAAAAAGTAAGTAGAACGAAGACCATATTTGGTCGCTTTTAAGGAGAAGCGGGCTAACCCAGTTTCGGGGGTTTCCAAAAATCTAGATCTACACCAAAAGCGGGCATTGCCCTACCTATAGGAGAAGTTTGGTTTCATTGGCGTGTATATTTGTTTGGTTATAGAGAAAACTCTCCTCGTCTTTTAAAGAAACTGAACAGGGGACAAAAACTTTACTTCGATTTTCTCAAAAAACTTTTTTTTTCCGGGATAGCCCCCTTGTGCTTAATTAAAAGCGGTCATTTCAGCTTACCTTGTAGACGTCGTATCGCGTGATGATGTCATCAAAAAGTGTGTAGAGACTGTTGAGCAAGTTGACGACCTCTATGGGCGTACTCTCGGAGCAGATCTTGGTGAAGCCGACGATGTCCGAGAAGTAGATGGTGACGTCATCAAACAGCTCGGCCTTCACCGGCTTGCCCAGCTTGAGGTCCTCGGCCACTGATCTACACACAGAGACACACAGGGATTGATTGGTTGATTGATTGATTGATTGATTGATTGATTGATTGATCGATTGATTGATTGACTGACTGACTGATTGATTTATTTATTTTTCTATTTATTCATTCATTCATGACGACGATGAAGATAATGACAACAACGACGACGACGATAACAGGGACAATAACGGAGATGAAACCGCAGGACCTCCACCACAGAGGCACACACACATACACACACACTCACACACACACACACACACACACACACACACACACACACACACACACACACACACACACACACACAGAGTGACCGACTCACTGGGGCAACATGCGGTAGAGCAGATTCTCGGTCTTCCTCTTCTCCGCGTCCAGTTCACTGGTTCTCTCAGCCACCAGCTCCTCTAGGTGATTGGCGTACTTCTCTAGCATAGCAAGCATGTTGTCAATCATCGTCATGTGTCTGGGGGACAAAACCAGGGATTGATTGATTGATTGGTTGATTGATGAATAGTTTGATTGATTGATTGAGTGATATATTGCTATACTGATAGATAGATAGATAGATAGATAGATAGATAGATAGATAGATAGATAGCTAGATAGATAGATTGATTGATTGATGGATTGATTCATCGATTCATTGATTGATTGATATATCGATATTCTCTCAGCCACCAGGTCCTCTAGGTGATTGGCGTATTTCTCTAGCATTGCTAGCATGTTGTCAATCATCGTCATGTGTCTGGGGGACAAAGCCAGGGATTGATTGATTGGTTGATTGATTGATTGGTTGGTTGATTGATTGGTTGATTGATTGATTGGTCGATTGATTGACTGACTGACTGACTGTCGGTTAAATGAATGAATCAATTAATTCCTTCATTCAATCAGTTATTCATTTATTCATTCATTTACTTACTTTATTTTATTTCGTTTGGGGGTGGTGGGGAATTTCGAAATTATAAATGCTCAAACTCCGGCTAAGAGAGATACAACATCCAAGCAAACAGATGGAGATACTACATTAAAAAA